TGGAGAGGAGAGGAAGGACATATTGTCATCATTACATGTCATTGCAGAAAGAGCCCTGGTGCCTTCTGAACAAAATATTTCAGCCTTTATTCACACCAGGCGGCCACTATGTTTAGCTACTTAGCTCTTGAGACCACCTCAGTCACAAGCAATCTGAGGTACACCTCACCAAAGCTTCCAGACAAGCTAAATCCCACTGAGATCAATTCCAGCACTCAGTTCTGATTTTGACAGGCTGTCAGTTAAAGAGCAATGCGACCTGTCTCAACAGTGGCATGCCTGAGAAGACAGCCGTCATCAGGAAATTGCCAACACCTCCCCACCACGCTGGGTGACTCACCTTGCACAAACACACAGCGCACAGCCTCAGGTTTTGCCTGATATATTCAAACATTTCATAGGATCATCATAGAACATAGCATGGTTTGAGTTGGAAGGAACTTTAAAGATCATCCGGTTCCAGCCCCCTGCCAAGGGCAGGGACACCTCACACTAGACCAGGTTGCTCAAAGCCCCGTCCAAGCTGGCCTTGAGCATTTCCAGGGATGGGGCATCCACAGCTTCTCTGGGCAACCTGTGCCAGTGCCTCACCAGCCTCATAGTGAAAAATTTATTCCTTGTGTCTAATCTAAATCTCCCCTCTGTCAGTTTAAAGCCATTCCCCCTTGTCCTGTCACTACCTGACAAGCAAGACTACTCCAAAAAGATGGTCAACAAAAGGTCATAGCCAGTTCATCAGCAAAAGAATGAGCCTGGAGGCAAGGCAGTAGGATCTGTGTGATCCTGGGGATGGATCATTTTGGGGGTGACAAAGCCAGGCTGCTGAGAGGGTGGGTTTATGCATTTTAGAGGTATTCTGTGCATCCCCTGAAACTTCTATCAAGTCCTTAAATAAAGTGGGATCTTTTACAATCATCCACAGCGTAATAATGTTGAGGCTGACACATGCACTGCAGATTGGAGCATGCATCAAATCAGTGAGGCCAAAAAGGTGTAAAATTAGGGAAAGTGAGCCTTTATGAATGCAACAGCCTTCTAACTGGCATTCATACAAACCAGGGCAATCCAAAAGCAAAACAGATCAGATTTTACTTTTACGAAAGGCTTTTAATCCTGAAGAACAAAGTGTGTTACATTGAAACTACACTACAAAACATGCTCACAGCAAGACGTGCCTCCTCGGAGGTCAAATATGACAAGCACGTAACAGCACTATTGCCCTGGAAGTCCTTTCTGCCAACAAAAGCACCAAGAGATAGTTCACAACTTCCTAAGATAAGGATCAAACTTCTGGAGTTTTTAGGATCAAAATTTAGCTTATGGGCATTGCAGTATCTCAGAGCATGAGAAGAACATCATCTACTGAAGCACAAACAGCACTTCCTAGAGCACTCTGGGGTTTTGAAGAGAGTGCCCTGTTATCAACCCAACTATACAAGAGTTTCTAGGAAGGAACCCCTTGGGATGGAGTCCCAAGTCCTATCATGGCATCACCTGACCCCGATGATGCCATCATTTGTGACAAGTGAGTAAAATAGAGGACTGAGGTCCTTCTTCTGAGACAGAGGAGGAAGACATAAAGGAAGACTGTAGCTGCAAGCAACAGGAGCTCTGAAATAAGAGGTGCCTCTGTAGCTGGGGAGCAAGATGGCAACCAAGCAGCTCCAGACCTGGAGGCAGAGACCATTAGAAGCTATGAAAAGACTGGAAACTCGTATTCTAAACTTGCTAGCTCAGCCTCATGCCACTGAGAGTGCATGGGTAAACAACCTCACAGCAAAAGACACCAGAGTGCCAGGAACCGCTGTACGTACAGCTGAGGGTTAAACTACTACATGAAATGCCTTCTCCCATGGTTCAGACCACTGCAGAGTCAGGATTGACATTAATAAAGCTGCCTTGTCCTACAAGTAGGACCTGTTGCACTTTCTTCATTCTGCCATTCCCTGCCAGCCATGAGATCACCCAGGAGTGTGGCAGCCTTGCCACGTTATGCAGCAGAATCTCCAATCCAGACCGGCAGGCAACAGGCCAGCTGCTGCCCCTGCCATGCTGTGGTACATGACTGACCTTCTGCACTGGATCCATCAGCCACACGGACAACACTTTCCACTGGAAATTCAATAGCTGGCTTCTTGTGCCACAGATAATGCCAGTGCTTTGCAAGCCTAGTATCCACTGCTTCAGGTGAATAATTCCATATAAGCCCATGGTTATATGGGAGTCACAAATGAAGAGGTAAGAAAAGGCAGGAAGACGATCTGTTTTCAAATAAAGGCAAACCTAGATGTCGCTTTGAAGACGCCTGACACCTCCCAAAGGACCCCCCGTCAGAGCCCATGGCTGAGCAGAGGACAGCGGTGCCAGTGCTAACGGGGCAAGGGGTAAATGCCACCATCACCCGCCCAGCTGCAGCCACCGCTCCCGCCGCAGCCGTGCTCCGGCCGCGCACCGCGGGGCCGGGCCGGGGAGCTGCTCGGGGCGCAGCCCCACCAGGAAGGGACCCCCGGGAGACGGCGAGGGGCGACCGGAGAGAGGGCTGCAGCCGTCGGGGGAGCTGAGCCGGAGCAGAAGCGCCGTGCCGGGAGACGCGGCCGCGGTGTCCTCCTTGGGCTGTCACAGAGCCGTGCACGCGTCCCCGCGGGGCGACCCCGAGGAGCCCATGGGGGCTTGAAAGCTAAAAACCATGTTAAAAAGCCTTTGCCCGCCTTCCCCACAGAGTGAAGGCCCCACCGTGGCAGTGCAGGGTGATGCTCAGGGCTGCGCGGCCGGCCCTGCGGGACAGCGAGGGTGCCCCGCGCCCCCACCGCTGCCCCGGGGCAGGCCGGCTCGGGGGGACCCAACGCGGGAGCTGCCAGAGGGAAAATAAACAACTTTCCTGGTGTAAAAAGTTGCCTTGCAGGTGCCTGCAGCTGGCGGTTAACACAGACAGTAAGAGGATCAACTCCATCTCCGGCAGTGGAGCAAAAGGGGAGGGTGGGGGAAATAAAAGCCCCCGCATTTGCTATTCAGAGTTTAGTTAATGTGGATGATAACGGTTAGTGTTTAATCCCATTGTACGAGAATGAATATACCGAAACCTACAAGGGTCCTGGCAGAATAATGCGTCCCGCAGCACCGCACCAGGGGCGCCCGGGCGGGCAGCCGGCCTGGCCCACCCCGCCGGCCGGGGGAGACGCGTCCCGGGGCCGCCGCCGCCTCCCGCGGGGCCACTTCGCGCTCCCGACCCTCATGGCGTGGCTGTGGGTCCCACCGGGGCGGCGGGGTGAGGGCCGGCACCGTGCCCATACCCCGGCCGCTTCTGGTGAGATGCTCTGGCAGGAGCGGCGGTGCCGCCCGCTGTGCACATCGGGGGAAGTGTTTGAGGTGTGTGCTGCTCCCCTTGTAAATCACAAGGGGAAACGGGTGGGAAAATGCGGGGCACGGGAGGAGACGCAGAGGCGTCCGAGAAAACACCTCCCGAGCCCACGCGGCTGGAGCAAACGCCGTCCGCACGGAGCTGTACGGAACAAGGCGGCGCCGCCGCCGGGGCGGACAGGATCCGTCACCGGGCGGCCCTTCCGCCGCCCTCGAGGTTTCCCTCCCGACCCTTCCCTCCCCGGGGGTCGCGGCGCTCTTGCAGCAGCCCTGGGGCCGGGGGCGGCAGAGCCGGGACCGGGGGGGGCGGCGGGCGGTCGCCCCGGTGAGGGCCCCGTTGGCGCACCGGCGGCCGTGGAGAGGGCCTGGGGGGGCCTCGCCCGCCACCGCGCTGGCGGGGGGGAGAGGGGCGGCGGTGGCGGGCGGCCCCCCCGGGGGGGAGCAGCGTGGCAGGGCGGCCCCGGCGGGGCGGGCCGGGGCGGTGCGGGGCGGTGCGGGGCGGGCTGGGGGCTCGGCGCGCTCGGAGGGCTCGGAGCGCGGCTGCCCGGGCGGAGGGCCGCGGAGAGGAAAGCTAACAATGCTGTGAAAATATGTTTGCAGAAAATAGACAATTGTTGGATTAAACGTATTCAAGTATGAAATAATGCCTTTTTGTGTAAAAAACCTCAGCAATGTGAGCGTACAAAAGTTCCCCTGTGGCAGTTACTTGCTCCCTTTGTGAGCTTTGCGCTCCAGCGTCTCCACTTGGCGCGTTTAACTCGGAGCCCCCCTTTAAACGCGATTGTTTCTTTCTTTTTAATGACATTTACCGGATCAAAACATGCTGTTAATTCGATCAGAAAGCTTTACCCTCCTTAACAATGCCACAATAATTTCTCCTGAAGTTTGTTAAATTGACCAAAATTAGGCAAATGAATAGGGGGTCTGTCGGCGATCCCGCTCGCAGGTGACACCGAATAATGCACTCTCGGGCCAGCTGCGATCCCCTCTTTATTTGCCCCTCTTTTCTTTGACCCGCATTATTAAAATTTAGGCCCAATGAAACTATTCATACTTTTCAATGGGACATTTTCCTATAGGATAATAGGCTACAAATTGAGCCTCTCCAAAGGAGAGGGGGGGAAGCAGGGGGGGTAAAACAACAACGCACAGACGCGCACACCACACAAAAAAGGAGCGTCGTGTGCCAAAGGCTGGCGAGAGCCTCCCTGGGCCGGCGGGAAAGAAAGAGGGGGGCTTAAGGAAGGGGGGGGGGGGGGAATCGTGTGCCAGCCCCCCGCTCCCACACCTGCCGGGGTGTCCCCGGCGCATAAAGCGGTGTAAACAAAAAAAGCCTCGCTGCCATCTCTCATAAAGATGGACGTGTCACCAAGTCGTGTGAGAAAAGCCTGAGAACAAACGGGGCCACTCCGTCTCCAAGGGTTCTCCCTTGAACTGGGCGGAACAGCCTATTAAGGGCTTACTTAATTACTTTAATGACTCTGGACAGGCTTTAAAATGCAGTCAGCGCCGAGGCTAAGGGGAGGGGGATTGGGGAGGGGACGGGGATTTGCAGGCAGGCGGCGGGGACGGGGATGCGGCGAGCGGGGCGCAGGGCGCCATCGCGCCCTGCGCCCCGCTCGCCGCATCCCCGTCCCCGCCGCTATTGTGGGACCATCACGTGTATCCGCGGGGTCCACGTGGGGTGACACAGCTGGGCTGCCCCCGGCTGCATGGGGGGGGAAAGAAGAAGAAGAGAGAAGAAAACCAACCCACCCCTTATCCCTCTCTCGCCCCCTTCCACCCTGATCTTTAATGCATACATTCCCCCGTCGCCGCTCGCCCCTAATCCTATGGGATCAGCGGGCCCGTGGAGGCCCCCCCCCGGGGTCCCCCCCAAGAAGTGATGGCTTTATAAAGGGGCTCGGAGAGAGCGGGGATGCAGTGCCCAACCATGGCCTCCAAGCTCAAGGAGCGGAGGGTGAGCCGCAGCCCGCCTTGCGCGCACGGCTCTGCGGGGCCGCCGGGAGAATCCAGCATTGCCCCCTCACCTCCTTCCCCTTCATAAAGCACGCCCCCCCAAAAAAACCCAACCCACCCGTCCCCAAAATAAGGCTGCCCTGCCGGGGCCGCCCGTGCAGACGGGGCGCTTCCGGACAGCGCGGAGAGGACCGGCCGCCGGAGCATCCTTCCTGGGTCCGCTTCGCGCCCGATGTCTCTTCTTGGAGTGGGGCCGATACCGGCTGCCCTGGAGGGGTCGGGACAGGGGCCGGCTGCCCCGACGAGGCCGGATCCGGCCGCTTTCTCCCCTCGCTAACGCGCCCCGTCTGTTTTGCAGAGGACGCCGGTTTCCCACAAAGTGATAGAGAAGAGGAGAAGGGACCGCATCAACCGCTGCCTCACCGAGCTGGGGAAGACGGTGCCCATGGCTCTGGCCAAGCAGGTAGGCGGGGGATGGGGGGGGGAGCAGGGGGTGTCAGCACCCAGGCCCTTCTCCCTTCTCCCCGGTGCGGAGCGACACCACCACCACTCCCCACCCCGATGTGAGGGGTTTGGGGCCGTGGGCCGGCGGAGCGCAGCCGCAGGGGAGATGTGATCCCCCTCTCCCCGCCCGCTGCAGAGCTCGGGAAAGCTGGAGAAAGCGGAGATTCTGGAGATGACGGTGCAGTACCTGCGGGCTCTGCATTCGGCGGAGTTCCCCCGTGGCCGGGAGAAGGGTAGGTAGGCAGGGGATACCGGGACACACACCCTCTAACCCCCCACTCCCGGCCGGACCCTGAGGAGCTCGGCTCCGCTGCCCTTGCTTTTCCAGCAGAGCTGCTCTCCGAGTTCGCCAACTATTTCCACTACGGCTACCATGAGTGCATGAAGAACCTGGTCCACTACCTAACGACGGTAGAGAGGATGGAGACCAAAGACACCAAATACGCCCGCATCCTGGCCTTCCTCCAGTCCAAAGCGCGCTTCGTCACAGAGCCCCTCTTCGCCTCCCTGGGTTCCCTCCCAGAGCCGGACTTTTCCTACCAGTTGCACCCCGGGCCCGACTGCCCCGGGCACGGCCACAGCCCTGGCGAGGCCGGGCTCCAACCGCCCTCGGGGGGCCCCTTCCCGTGGCACGGCGCGGCCCGCAGCCCACCCCTGCCCTACCACCTCCCCGGCGCCGCTGTGCCCCTCGCCGGCCCCGGCCAGCAGCGCAGCACCTTCCTGTCCTCCGTGCAAGGGCTGGACCGCCACTACCTCAACCTCCTCGGCCATTCCCACCCCAACGCCTTCGGGCTGCCCCCTGGCCAGCACCACTCCGTGCTATAGACTCGACCCCGCCCGAAAACCCTATTTATGACCGCGGACACTGAGAGTTACGCCCGGGCGCACAGGGAGGCTGCCGGGGCCATGGAGATGCGCGGCAGTCTCGGAGGGCTGGGAGCTCGGGGCCTGCCTCCCTCCCTCCCGGGGGTCTGGACCGGCCTTTCCCGCTCTCCTTCCCACCTCCGGGTGCGGTGCCTGTACAAGGGATGCCTTGGAATAAATGTTTATACCCGGCGCCCCTTCTTGTTTCCGGGAGGGCCCCCCCTCAGGGGGCAGGGGAGCCTCCCCCACGCACACCCCCAGGGGTAAAAACCCACAAGCGAAATGTGCTGGCTGGGAGAGCCGTCGGAGGGATGTGGTGCGTGGGATGCCCACGGCATGGGGACACTCCCAGAACCCCAGTTGGTGCTGTCTTCCTGTGCGGGGATGCTCCCAGGGACACGCGTTCGAGAGGCCCTGGGATCTCCCGTGGGTTTTGCCAGAGAATTTCTCTGCGGCGCAGGTTGCTCAGAGGAGGAATAATGGGGAAGGCCCAAGACGGGGCGGGGAGGGCGGGCGGCGGGGACGGAGGTTCAGAGCACCGAGAGTAAAGCAAATAAAAGCTCTTGAGAGCGAGTCCTTCGAGACCTATCGGGGCCCTTTCGGTGCCACCCGCACCGGGTGTCCCCGGTGTCCCCGCACCCTTGGCAGGAGGGCAGGAGGATCCCAGCTGCCCCTGGGGCAGCCCGGCGGGGCCGGAGCTGCCGACGGGTAAATTAACTTATTCCAGTTGGGTGGAGAGACTTTGAGGAGGTTTGACCCGGGTTGTTTGCCCAGTCACGGAATGGGCTGACCCGCAATTTGTAAACCAACCCGACCCTTTATGCGGAGACAGACAAAAAGATCTTCATTACAATGAGTAGAAAGTTGAATGTGTATCTTCCATTTAACCTGTAAATACAGGAAAAGCTGCTATTTCAGATTAGTGGGGAAGAGGTCACACGGCAACGAAATGGGTCAGACAGAGGGGAGAAAAAACCCTCATTTCCTCAGGACACCTTTAGGATGGTGAATCCATCGAGAACCTCTTTCCTGCTCCGTGTACACAGTGCAAGATGGGATGAGCCAAAAGCATTCAGCAGCAGCAGAATGGCTGGTGCCTGTTACACAAACACACATCCTGCACTCACCAGCGCTGGGTGCAGGATGTGAAGAAACTGCTACACAATTTTTATTCTGTAAGAACTAAACTATGGTGAACCCCCTTTGGCACCAAGGCATTAACGATACAGCCTTTTCCTGTAAATAGAAGTTATTGATGTGTTCAGCATTTCAGTCCCTGTTAACAAAATTAAACAAAACTTTCCTTTGCTAAGTAGATTTTCTCTCTGGGATTAGCAGAGGGCCACCACGGTCAAAACTGGGGTCATTTACATATAATTTTGCAAACTCGCACTGGTCCATGACAGTCTTTGTATCCCCAATGTTGCTATTCTGGATTGTTTCTCTTTTTCCTTTTCTTTCTCATTTAGTTGTAGAGGATAAACCCCTCTTTGGCTTTACAATGACTTTAGGATAAAAGTCTTCCCCCTCTGCCCGTGAAGGGCTCTGAGCTCATCCCCAAAGCCAGAGACCCTGGCTTTTGCCCTCAAAATTATTTTGGCACCCGGTAAAGCCAGTAGTACTGAGGGATGGGAGCTGAGCTGCATGGGGTAGATCCTTGGGGGCAGTGGAGTTTACCCAGGACAGGCATCCTCTGTGTTTTGACAGAGGTCCGGCTCACTTGGTTTTACTTCATTTTACATTTCTGTGCCTGCAGGACAGAGGTTTTTAGCTGCCCCCCTCCTTCAGGCTCATTTTAGTTCAGCCATGAGCTGATGCCATGCCTGGTGGGAGCAGGCAGGAGCTGAACATCACCTATGCTGGGCCAGTTAAAACCCATAGCTGATCCCAGGTGGGGTGCCTGTCTGAGCTGGCAATGCTCATCTTCCAACACGGCAATGCCATTTACTGGTGCCTGGCAGCAGATAGCATGGGAACAAACAGAGGGGTTTTGTTCCTGAAAATAAACTACTTTAACTCCCAAAGCACCCAAAATAGTAGCCTCTCTGTTACGCACCTGCTTGGCTAAAAATCCTGATGATGAATGACTTGCTGTATCCTTTCCTATTCCTTTCCTTCAGCTAGCAGCTTTCTCCTTCTTAGCCTTAATCTGCCTCATTTTGCCTTGCCTTCCTTTCCCGTGATTTTCAAGTCCTCTTTTCCACCTCTTCTTCTCCCCGTTATCTAAACTCCTCTCTTTTCCTCATGCTTTCCAAGCCCTATATATACTGCAATTCTTCTCAACACAGAAAATTATTGTACAGCACAGTCTCATCTTAGTAATTTCTTTATATTGAAGGCAAAGAATCATTTTGGGGATCAAAGGACAGTTCTGAACCTGATACAGTATCTCACTTGTCATTTACTCAGGAAGTAAGTTTATGTAGATCTTTTTAATATGCCTTACTGAAAACATCTCCAACTCCCTAATTTATCATATGGATTTATCTGCATTATCAGGGAAGTACAACATCATCAATTAGATCAATGAGGCAGAAGTAGCCTGTGCACAAACTCTCCACATTAAACATTTACATTTCAAACAGGCAACAGGTGAAGCCTGGAAGGAGGTGTTACCGTGCCACTCTTGCTACTTAAATAAGTAATAAATGCTTATGAATTTTGAGCATATATAACACAGATCAGAACTCTTCTTTCTTCCCATGGTTCAAAGAGGGCATCGTTCAAAGATCTGGGGATTTGGTGGCAGTGACACCCTGTGGAGTTTCCAGCCTTGGAAACAGAGCCCATGGCACAAAGCACAGTCCCCAAACTCATGCCAACACAGTCATTCTGAGGACAACTTATCAATCAGGTCACTAGCTAATGAAAAAAGAGCGTTTTATTTTACTTTGGGTCAGTGACCCTGCTGTGGCATTGGACCACAAATACTTGCATCAGTACATCTATAGGGTTGAACCATGGGTTGGGAAGAGGCAGCTGAGGGAAGGAGGAGGAACAGCACTGCTGAAGGCTCTTAATCAGAGATCTGTTCTGGTTGTGGCGCACATGATAGCTGGCTTCCTAATAGTATGGGTGCGACCCCTTTCCTGCAGTACCAAAAGTCCTGCCAGTTTGTAAGTCTGGCTGTGCCACTGCTGTGTCAGATGCTGCTGCTGTTTCTCAGGCTCAGAGGTACCCCAGGGCAGCCTGCACAACTTGACCAGGGTTATGCCAGAAAAGCTTAGGAGAGCAGATGGTCTCAGGTGCCAGGGTACAATGCCCACCCTATCCCAAATCAGCTTCTTACTCTGCTACCATGTTCTTAGAGTTAAATAGTGCCTTGAAGCCCAGATGGATGTTTTCTCTTCATAAAGTAACGAGGCATAAGGAGGAGACCTGTTTGCCTGTGGCTCTTGGGACAGCTGAGCACTTGTCCAACAATCACTTTGCAAAGGCAGTCCTTCAGAAAGAAACTCTCCGTCTGACAGTTTCATATTTGCTGCAATGCAGCATCTGATCCCACAGTTTGCTTCCTGCCTTGGGTGAGCCCATCCCCTCTCACATCATCATGTTTATTTCTAGCAGACTTGCCCACAGATTGCGTAAAGGCTGTTTTAAGAAAAGAACGGTGGAGTCTCTTTAAGAGGAGATGCAATTACGATAAGATGTATAAGAAAGAAACCTTAGTATGTATATGAGGTTAAAGCTCTGATACCTACCCACATACCGTACTATTGGCAATGTAATTTTTAATCACTGGAAGAACACATCCAAGTGCAGTCCTAGTCTATGTAAAGACTGTGTAGATAAATAATTAGGCTCTCTGAACAACTGAGTCCTGCAAGGCAACATGGAATTCATGACCCAGTTGTTATGCTTTTAGTGAATGTTTATGAAGGTAGTTTTACCTGCCTCCATCTCTCAGCCTTCTGTTGCTAGCCTGCTTAGACATTCTTCTAGGAAGTTGGAGTCTCAAGGTTGAAGTCTTCGAGGCTAAAAACTGGGTGTCCCTCTTTGGGAGCAGCCACTTATAACCACTCTGCCCCTACAAAGCAACTTGCTTTGCCTTTGAAGGAAACACTGTGCCCGCAGTTAGTCCTGTGAAAGGAGAGATTAGATGGTAGCTTGTCCGGAGAGGGTTTGATCTCAGGATATCATGTTGAAGGAGACATCCAATTTAGATTGCAGGCGTGAAGTGGTGACAGCATTTCAGTGCTTTCTCCATGCCAGGGAGGAATGAGGACTATAGCTTTCGCACCTCCATTCTCTTCTTCTGGAGGTATATATGGTTTGTATACCATATGCTTTGTGTATCATGGTTTGATACAGGGATTTGATACAGCTGTGCAATCTTAGTTCTTACACCATGTGATGCCACTATAGCTGTGAGTAAAAGTTAGGGTGCCGAGTTTTTCTGCCAGAGGTGCTAGGATGGAAACAATTTACCCTTACTATCAAACTGACTGCTGGGTTTTCAGGATTGGAATCTGTAGAAGGAACAGTAACAACACCACCTATACAACAAACCCCACATAGCTTCAGTTTTAAAATTAGAAAAGTGTAATAGGAACCAATGGTATTCACCAAGTGCAGATTACAAGACTTCAAGAGCCTCAGGAAACTTTGAGACAACATAGATTAAATACAGCACAACTATATATTGGAGTGTTCTAAGGGAATCAATATAACCTGACTCCTGCATATTCCACTATAAACCCCCTTTTTATCATAGGATGTAATAATAATTTTTCAATGCAACAGACTTTTTTCATACAGTACCTTCTCCACTCTTAATGATGAAAAAACATGGGTTGGGAGTTTTATTACTGAAAGTACTGTAAATTATCTCTGATGTCTGGAGAAGGAGAGAAAGCAACTGGAAAAAGAGCAAAAGTATACATATCCTTTGCCGCATAATGCCAAACCTGTTAGATAGCAAAGATCTATGAAAGCCAATAAAATGATGATTAAAAGAACCCCTGTTTACAGCATGCTACAACTCACCATCTGCAGGAAAGGCAGTATGTTAAAACAAACAAGAGATTCCTACATGCTTGTTAACTATATGCATATATATATGGAGGTGGGCAAAGCTTCCTGGAGATGCCTGAAGCTACAGTTGCTTCCACAGGGAGACACAATGGTGTTGCATCAGCAGAGAGCTTACCAAACAGGTACATATTTCAGTGGCTCCTCACACTCATTTTATTAATTCAGCTATGCAGCCAGATATTTACAAAGATACATAGAAAGTAAACAATCTAACCTGGTCCTGAACACACAATTAGTCTGATTATGAAACTGGCAGAACAGCTACAAAACAGGTCCTACTGCCTCTGGTACTCAGTGCATAAAATACTCCCCCAAGGCAAAACCCCACAAACAACAAAACCACAACTAGGCAGGACAATCTGTGCTTCAATGAAAGGCCAAACTCCATCTGTGTGCACACACAGGAGCTAATCCAACTCCATGAGGTCAAAGGATCCTCCTTTCCATGGTGAGGAGCTTCCAAGCAGCAAAACAGCATGCTTTCACCTAGTATTTCATCTTCTTCAAAGCTATTTGCAATTCTCTGTGCTGCACCTTTGCCTCTCCTTTTCCGAAAATTAATCTTCTTAGTAGCATTAATTTTCTTGGTCTTTCGTATGCTCCATGCAGGTAGAAATTGTGCTACATTCAGCTTGTTTTATGCTCTCAGAAGGAGCTTCTACCACCACTTCACAAAGCAACTTACTGAATATGGCAAGCAACAAGTAGGTAAGACAAGCATCCCTGCAAGAGGTATATGACAGAGCTAGAAGCATAGGTAACTGGGAGAAGTGAAATGCTGTTCTAGTCATGAGAATATTCTATGTTAATTTATAGCTGGTTTGCCAAGGGGATTTTTTTGGCTGTATTTAGCTAGCTTTTTTTAATGAGCTTTTTCCAAAAAAGATTTGTAATCAATTTGCCTTTTCAGATTAGGATCCAATTCAGAGAGAGAATGATAAACTTCACCCTCTTCCAGCAGGGGACTTTGGGACTAGAGTTCTGGAACAGAGAGGTAGCACCTGCTGCCAGTATCCAGCTTCCTAAAGGCCTTTCTAAGAGTCTTTCAGGCACTGTGATTTTTTTGACTGAAAAAATCAAGCTGATAAGTTATTTCAGGAAAATTATAACCATTTAGTAGGGCACAAACCCCCCATGAAAATCTCATCGCAGCTGGCCAAGTCATAAGGTGGGGAAATAGTGTGCTTTAGAGCCTGTAGGTACACAAACATGCAGGATGCTGGCAAGTTTTGTTCCTTACCAGACAAAAATACAAGGATAGGATGGGACCAATGAGATTTTTTCACTCGTATATTTGGAAAAGTTATTTTGTACTAAAGCAACATCATACCATAAAGGTAAAATATTTGCAGTGGTGTGATAATAGAAGGACATACTGAAATTTATGAGCATCTGACTTTCAAAACTATTACATGTCTCAAAGGTAGAGGTCTAAGACTGAATTCACCATTCTAAGCAATATTTCTTGTCAAAAGCGACAAACAGGCATCTCTTATAGGACAGTTTATCAGACTGATTCAGTTTCTCCCTTAAAAATGAATTGATTTTCCTTGGAATATATCTTTCCTTTTTTGAATCAGAAGGGGATAAAGGATCAGGAGGTCGGATTCAGATATACATGCAGAGGAAGAATCAGGGCAGCTGAATCCCACCCTCATTGCTGCCTGGTAAGTAGCTTAATTTATCTGCTCGGATACTTCAGAGGGGCTCTACATCTCCATGCCTAAAAATCACATCTAATTAAAAGAAGTTTAGCCTCCAGTGACTCGGCCAAATAGAAACTTCTTCCATCTCATCTGCAAGACCTGTTGCTCATTTTAAAAGAAGATCCAACTTCTTGTGTGCCTGTTATGCAGACTGAAGGTGTAGGAAGTCCAGCCACTGAACTGAAACAGCCAGTGGGTGTTTAAGGGTCCCAGTGGCTGGTTATCCCAGATGACAGATATTTCTAAAGTATTAGTTGCATGTACTGCTAGAAGAAGTGGAAAGAAATTTGGGTGGGAAAAATGGGTGTTTACTATTTCCCTCCAGCAAGTACCGTTTCAGACAAAACTATTAGCCATCCACAAAAAGACAATGTTCTTTCTGTGGTTGTCAAAATATCAAGCTCAGAAGCTTGGCACTGGCTTACCTCCGAGATGCCTGTATAATAGCAATGTACTTAAGAACTGGCATTTCATCACACATCAATACATTACAGGATATACAATATTTAATCCCTTATTTAGAAAAACAATACTTTTTTAAAGGATTTATCATCAGCTAGTTTTGCTGCTGAAGGATCTGCTTTGTGCGTAACAGAAAGCTTATCCTTAGGTGCTATTTTGGTGCTGAACCCCCTACTGATCCAGTTTTGTTACATTTTTGGAACAGTGCGTCATGTTATAAACAGTTCCACAACCACCATTTTTTCCTACTGACATAAATTAGATTTACCCACACCCTGACCACCAGGAAGGAGGTCAGAATCACAGCTGATTTTTTTCATAACCTTAAGATACCAGCTCCTTTTCAGGGTGGAAAATGCTCAGCAATGGGAAAACATGCAGAGCTCAAGGAGCAGCCAAATGTCTCACAAACTCCTGAAAATACAGTGTGCCATGGAATCATAGAGTAAGTTTCTCAAGCTTGCAGACTTCACATGCTATTTCTGGCTGGATGTCAAACCTTCCCTCAGTACTCCAAAAGATGAAAAGTAATGCTACTGAAATGAGCAACATCAATAGATAGTGACTATTCTGAAGAAAAATATAAATTTATTCTAATTATTAGCCAAATAACTGTGGACTTAACCAGCAAACTGATGTCTTTCTTTGGAAATTTTTGTAAGGATCACAGCTTTACGCCAACAGATATCAGATTGGTAAAATGATGCTTGCTCAGGTAGAAAATCCTCTGAATAAGGATTCACACAGATTTCAGAGGAAGCAGATTTAAGAGGAAAACCAGACTGAGGTAACGTTGTGGTATCAGGGGGATTTCAGAGGAACTGCTAAGTTAGGAAAAAAAAATAGTGGTCATAATGGTGCATTCTTCCCACCTGACAAGGACAATATCCCTGAAAATGGCCAGGACCAAGATTAGTTGCCACAAAATTGTCACCTGCTTGCTTGGAAGCAGGACCTCATCTGCAGCCCTGAGCTTTCATACCAAATGTTAACCCAGAGGGATCACAGTTCTACTCCAGTGGAAGACAAGCTGCTCTTCAGGACAAAAAGAAGTAGTATTGCGGCACCTATTTTTCTATACCTGCCCAGGACATCTTCCACCTATGTGTTTTGGATCTGCTTATTTTCCTTCTCTTTCTCTGCTTCTTTCTCCTCTTTAGACTCAGAGCCCAGCCTGAGCTGAGGTCTCTCATCAAAGAGACTAGGCAGCCCTTTTCTGAAAGAGAAGCGTAACTGGTTTGCTCCTACCTCTCTTTTCAATCACACAATGTCTGTCCTTAACAAATATACCAGAGCCCAGGTGAATGAGAAACATCCCTTTGCTGCTGGCAAAAATTCAGGCTGTTTTTCTTTTTAAAAGGTAACCATATCTATAGCATTGCTGGGCAGTACTGTTTAAGTACGGCAGATCAGATGCTGTCCTGATTTATAACCTCTGCCAGCCTAAGTGAATGAAGGAGACAGCGACTTTGCACACTCCCTGTGAAAGGCAAGATGCCCAGATATAATGTGTATGAGGACATATCTTTAAGGACTCTTTCTAGCCCACCTGGCACGTCTCAAGAAGGCAACTCAGCCAATATGAGAGTATTTACCTTGCTGCTTAAAAAAGAATAAGCAGGCCTGGGCATAATGCAGCCCAGCCACAGCAGGCTCTCAGGGCTCTACCGCCTTAGTCTTGTAAATCCCTCTGACGATAATAAGGGTTGCATGAGTGAGACACTAACTTTGATTTTGTATTTTAATCACAGAGCTCAAAATGTGGAGCTTGTTGGCAGCTGGCAGCCTTGCCTGACTTTCCACTGCACCCCACGGGAGCATGGCTTTAAAGTGCAGCAGCATGCTGAAGTGTCTTCTGTTCACCACAGAGCAGGGTGTAAAGCAGCTTTTAAGAAGACGGAGCATCTCCAGGTGGTTAAGGGCATGGAGCTACGGTGAATGTCTGTGGTGGGCATAACCACGGGCCGGCAGGGTTAAAAGGGAGGCTGTCCAAATTCATCCAAGACGTGCAAATCTTGAAACACGTAAACCCTACATGCGTCAGATAAAGAAGCCAGAAAGAAAGGTGCCCCCTAATGAGTTTTTTTTGCGCTTGGGTGAGCGAAAGGGGTGCTTTGGGAGGCTAATAACTGAAAACCTTCCAGGCTTTTGTCCGGAGAAATGGCAGGCACTTTCCATCCCTTTGAAAAAAAAGAAGGCCTTTCGGAGTCTTCACGAGAGATGTGGATTTTAAGGGCGACCTTAGGTCATACAGAACTAATCAAGCGAAAACAATAAGAAAATTAGACTGACAGTCAGCAAGTATCTGAGGACTTTATCAAAAAGAATTAGGAATGGACAAATTCACTGGGAGCAAAGGATCAGATCTGCAAGGTGGCATTGTGTGGTGGGATTAAATTATTTATTCATTGTTAATTTATTTATTTATGTATGTGCAAATGACCTAGCTGCTGCAGGTGCTGAGGAGTTTCTGAAAAGGCCCAGTTTTAGAGCCAAGGCTAGAATATTGGTCCATTTAACTCATTCTTTTCCTTAAGGCGATCAAACAGTGACTTTTATCTAGGAGATAGAGGAGGAAAACCATATGTGTACTGGGAATGATGTGGGCTCTGCGCAGCACTAAGTACCCAAGTATTTCAGTCTCATTCAAGAATGCTGTGCAGTTTAATGTCCAGCAAATTAGCAAATGAATGCTTATGTCAATATGTGAAAAATCCCTAGTTGGTTTAAACAGATAAAAAGCCTCTCGGGAAATGGCAGAAAATGCAGGCTTTCTCCCCCTGTCTCTTTTAAAGAAAGAAAGAGAAACAGTACTTATTAAGTTTTCCCCAAACTTACAGAAAGTTGCAGAAAACAACAACAGTCTACATGGATGCTGGATCTCATACATCCATTAAGCATTTCCAGTGCTGCTACTGCAAAAATACACCAAGCTTTTGCCAGGCCCTCTTTGAATCACACACTTGCTATTCAGAAGAAAACAGTTAAAATCTGTGACAGCTACAGAGCCTGTTAGATGCCATCCCACTACCCCTCTCTTAAAGGTACAGGAGGTCAAAAGCCCTGGAAAGGGTCCATCTTTCCATTTTGCACTGATTTATAAAACCAATCTCAAAGATGATATCCACAAACACCTTTTGTTTTTCCTTCTCCAAATTTAACCATTACTAGGAAAGGGTAAAAATTGTTATCTCATGTTTCCCTTGACCCAGCAGTGCAAAGCCACAGTGGGGACTCTGTGTACAACATGACCCTGTGGAAAAAAGGAACATGAGATCTCAGCATGGGGGTTGGAGGCAAGAAGTCACACATATCTAAAATGTCAGTGTCATGTCAGTTAATGCCATGTGATAAGGGAGTCCTGCTGGGTTTTACGCCCTTTTGCAGAGATACACTTGAAGGTTGGCTGGTAAGGCGGATTTTTCACTAAATCCAGAAAAGGACTGTAGATATTTGGCCAGGACAGATCATAATGGATTCTCTTTCTCCAGGACAAGCATCAGTAGTGGTGCTGGGGATAGCAAAACTGCCCCATGATACACATCTTGAAACCAGACTGGCAGGTTTATGCAGAATGCTATCTCACAGGCTTCTGCTTCAAACATGGCATTTCCCTCCTCTTGGCCAGTTCTAGGCCTTCTTCTCAAAACCAGCCTTCTTCATGCTACTTTGGAGTAAGAGCTACTCAAGTGAAAAATAGATGGCATTTTAAATTACCAAACAAATGTGTTTGGTAATACTACATTTAAAACATTAACTCAGATTGAAAGTTCAGTGAGTGAGTTTCCCAGGCCATGCAAAAAAAATCACACATAAGCCATATTGAAAGTCTGTTTGCTCCCTGTGGCCAGAAAAACCTCCTTTCTCCCTTGAACATTGATGTGTGAGGATGAATTTGGTCAATACGAATGTCAGCATGTCACTAAAATGCTATGAGTTACCTTCCACAGCCTTTGGCACACAGTAACCAGGGAGCCTGTGGGGCTATGGTCTCACTCCATGGGCTGTAAGGGTGCATTTTAAAAAGGCTGGACCCAAAAGCAGAGTTATACAGCATTAAGAGCTCAGTCATCTCAGGAACAAGCATCACAGGCCAAATCTCTTCTTGCTCATAATTTCAAATGGATACAGTTGCAGCTCACAAGAGAAATACTTAGTATACAACTTTAACATTTTGTGTTTGTTTCAGTGTCCTGTTATTAAAAGAACTCTTTCACTTCAGAGACTGTGGGGACCGGTACGTAGGATGCTAAGAAAGGCTGTGCTCTACTTGCATCTCTGCTACGGCACTTAAGGATGCACACAGGCACAGTTTCTGCCTCTGTTTTCATGCATGTAAATCAGAGATCAGAGCATCTATTACATCTGTATTTAAGATGTATCACATCTTATAATTATTAATTTGCCTTATTAATTTTCTTAATTCTAATACTGCCATTGGTTTAAGATTTGTCTTCACAGAGCATTCTGCATAGAGCTTCTCAGCACTCCCCAGTTCAGGCAGCCAAGCTGTTGAAATCCCTTGCATTTTCACAATGCAGAAGGCAAAGGATGGTGCCAGAGATTTTCTCAGCTAGCCTTCAGTAAAGAGGCAGTGGAAGTCATACATGAGGATACCTGTTTGTACGTAAATACCTACAGATATTGGAAATACGTCAAAAAGGAAAATTAGAAAAGGAAGGTAGCACTTCAGCAGCTATGAAGTAACATGAGGAAACCAACCTTCTCTCTGAGCCAGAGGAAGGCAGTCCAAGTAGGCTCTGGGGAAGTCCTGTCACCAAGTTCAAGGTGCAGCAGCTACAACTAGTTGTTAAAGACTTCTGGGATGTTTGCATTTTACAAATAACAGCCTTCACTGTGTAAAGTCACTGTGAAATTAATGTGCTATTTCTCTATTCAGTGCATGGATGTTTAAACCTCCTGCAGGGAGAAAAAAATTACAGCAATTAAAAGGCAGAGTAAGTGATGAGACAAACCAGAATATTATGCTGCCTTTCAAATGAAAATGTTGTCTTTTTCACAACAGATATTTCAAAATAGATCCACAGATCTTACTGAAACACAAAGATCTATTCTTAAGAAAAAGCAAAGCCCATGTAAATAGATGATCACTATTGTTGTAAAAGTTTTCAGCAGAAAAGCTAAAGGTAAAGGGGGACAAAAATGCAGAAGATCATAAAAAGACATGCAAAAGCAGAACAACGTTAAGAAAGTTGTTATTAAAAAATCCTGTTGAAGCTGAACAGATAGTTTGCACTAATAAATACATCATGAAATGGCCCAAAGAATCCTCCTTAGAGTAAAGGAAGTTTGGCTTAGCTGATTAGACACTCAGTAAGACAAACACAAAGGTGGAAAGTGGAGTGTAAACCTGCCCTTTGGGGTCTGATCCCTGATGGTGGTGTCTAGCACACAAGTGTTTTCAAGTACACTTTACATTTTCCCTCCCACTCAAAATGTGCAAGCACTACTGAGTTAGTCCCCAGCTTCAAAATCAGAGGGTCTGAAACACTAGAGTGTTCTGAACTACCCACTCCCTGAATGGGAATGCTCTTCTCAGTTATGAAAAAAGGGGAAAAAAGCCCATTTCTGGACTTTTTTTTTTTTTCAAATATTATAATATTAAACAACCTTAAATATGTTTTGCAGGAGGGAGGATGAACCTTTAATATACTCACTGTGTGGCTGGTCACAATTTCTGTATGCTCTTTTATACAGTATAGGGTCTTCTGAACAGTGTTTGAGATAACAGATAAAATACTGAGAGCAGGAAGAAGTTCAGACACCCAGCAGCTCAGCCCTATCTAGGTGTCTTCAGGAAATAAACTGGGAATTAGAAAGTTGTTTGACTGGTACAGATGCATATTGCAGCCTTCCTCTCAAAGAATTTCCTAGTGGTCCTACATAATTTGGTTTGGTTTACTTTAAAGGGAAGACATACAGGGAAAAAAATAATGGAAGCAGAAATCATATTGCTGAATACCACCAGAACAGAGCCCCTTAAAAAGTCTACAGAAGTAATATCATTCTATAAAGACTCTGCCCATTCCAGAGATAACATACATGCTGTTTCCTACACTTTTATCTGGGATTAGCACATAAAAATACAATTTATACACAATCAAACACATTAACAATTAAAGGAAAGGGTATTTTCACATTTTTATATTGATTAGAAGCTGCCAGGGAAAAATAAAAACGCAAAATTTATATATCAAATTTTAAATCTTATGGTAGGCTACTAAATGAAGGAAACAGCTTCACGAAGTCTCCCTGACTGCTGAGATGACGTTGCTGCAAACATCCAAGATTTAATTGAAAGTCAAGTGTAAATACATAGAAAGCTGTATTACCCAATTCAGAAACCTAGACTAAATGATGCAAGAGTTTTGCCTAGAACTGTTATCATCTTTGACTCTTTTTTTCATGAGACATCCCCTCTAGAAAATCAAGAACAAAAGGAAAAAAAAAAAAGCAAGTATGGCATCACATATCCCTGGGATGGAGAACATTTCTTTCTTCTTCTTCACAGAAATACAGGAAGTCACAGTGGTAATTCAAAGCCGTGTTAGAAAACCAGCATGAAATTATGAAATAAAAATAACAAAAATATTCTGTAGGTCTTAACTGCTCTTGGTATATTGGCAATTCATGTACAAGTGTCTGAAAATCAGAAACAGAATGTAACTTGTTTATTTTTATGTTCGTGGCACCTTAAATTAAAGGTTGTAGTGGAAATTCATTTTTATTTTTAAAGAACTGTCCAGTTATAATAGCCTAGTTGTCACAGAGAAATGGAAGCAACTCCTAAATACCTAATTCAAAACTGTATGAGTAGGTGAAGCCATCCAAAGGTAGCAGTGGCATTATGCATGGGACGTACATTATGTACTCCTGGCCCGGAATGATTTGAACTGTCATGCTTCAGCTGCCCCAGCAGCTGAAATTAGAGGAGTCAGGCACCCAAGTGCAACTGTCTGTGCCTGAGGCACCAGGTCACTAACAGCAATGAGATCAATAGTAAGATGGCTGGTACGCCCAAGAAAAGGGATGTGGCAGGTGTATCTTCCCATGGGCTGGCACTTTTAAGATTCCTTGGTCTGTAATTGCTTCAGACCTTCAAGTTCATTCAGTTTGATTTATATGAGAATAAGATGGAGCAAAATCTGAATAGCAGAATTATGAAAAAGGCACAAACCAACACCCCATTTACAATATGACTGCTTCAAACTTTTGGCCAGACTCAAATCAAAACTACTTGGTTTTGCCTGGATTAAAACTAGATCAGAACACCCTGAGATGTGCACAGACCAAGTGCAACTAGGACACAGCACCTCACATGCCTCTACATTTCACTGTAAGTAAAATGGGTAAGGACTGGGGAAGACGCACTGGAAAATTGAAAGATCTATTGTGTTTCTATTTTTGTACGAAACTTGCTTGGCATGTGCTGCTGACTGCTGCCTGCGCATCCACATGCTGTCGTCTGATGGCTCAGGAATGCAAGTGGGACATGACAGTTCAAGCAGGACGTCAGCTCCTGAGGCTGTGCCAGACAGCTCTAGCAGAAGCTGTGCTACAGCCTGGAATGAGATTGCTTTTGTGCACTTATTTCCAGTTTAGCTCATGCTGCTTGGGCATGTCATGTACCTGAGGATGGACCCTTCTGTTTGCTCCTTAAACTCCTGTTGATATTGGACAGTTTGGTTTAAAATATCTTACAGCAGCCTTAAGTCCGTCTTAAAGTTTCATCAGCTAGAAGGGCTCTCCCTCCTACATTTTCAGTCCCCTGCCTCACCAGGTCACTCTCCAGACCAAGGCTCACAAGAGTCCAAGTCCCCCTGGCCACCATTAGCTGCCTCCCTTCTCCCTCTGCTCTGCAGTGTACAGCAAAGACATGCACCAGCAGAAGTACTATGCCCACCAAAGATTTCTCTGCAGAGAGGGGCTATCCAGATGCAAACTAGAGTGGCTTTCCAGATATTTAAGTAATGTTTAAGATTTACCCAATTATAAGACAGAACAGCTAAGGTGGGGAAGAAATTTCACATGAATAAATAGCAGGAAACTTAAGGTTAAATGTAAACATGCTGAATGGGCAGGGAAATGGCATTTTGTTTAAGGCTGTCCTCGGTCAGGAGCTAGTTGAGGTCTGAACACTGGTAATGTCAATGTCAGGAAATTTGGCAGGGGAAAGCGCTGCTGCTGCAAGTGCTGGACTTCTACCAGAGCTCCCATACTTGGGGCTGGCAGAATGGGATAGCGTTTCATCTGCTGTTTTAAAGCACCCATAGCCATCTCATGGAGAACGCAACGCACTGTATCTGACAGCACCTATAACCAAACAGAAAATAAAAGAAAACAAAAACCCCCAAAACAACCCCTCCACTTTCCCACCACAAATCATCGGGGGCAAAGTGCGGACGTTCCCTTCTGCTCGCACACCACATCCTTTTTCGCCGCAGCAAACCCCTCGCCGCTCCCCCTGCTGCTCAGCGCCGCGGGCCGGGCCGGGCCGGGCCGGGTCGGGCCGGTGCAGGTGGCACGGGACCGCTGCGCCCCCTGCAGCTCCCGGCGCGGCAGCGGCGGCGGCCGAACCCCTCTGCAGGCAGCTGCGGCGGTCACCGCGTACCCTACTGCAGCTGCCTCGTGGTTCGCAGAGGGGCGGGAAGGAAGGAACGGTTTTGGCTGAACCACTTCTGTTTCCGGCCTGCAAAAATGACTACGTCGGAGGTCGCCTTCTCAGCCCATCTGTAAACCCCAGCCTTGGCGTTTTATGCCACCACAAGTAACTAATATGACTGCTTCACACGTCTTCCCGCTGCCAAGAAGAAATGCTGCAAACCCTATTTTTGATCTAAAACTCATCTCAGACTTCTGGAGGAATAAGAAAGAAGCCAAGCTGTGGATTTGAAACTTATTTGCTGTGGAAAGCTCTGCCAAAAGACACCCTCTGCTTTTCTGTCAGGCCCCGTATTTCCACCTCGTTCTACAGCTGCTGAGACTGAGGTCAAGTGATATGTCACTCTGTCAGATCACACAGTGAGTCAGTGGCTCTTCCCGGATTAGAACGATTCCACAAGGCCTTCTGAAAAGATTTGTAACAAATGTCAGCGCCAACCGTTCACTGCTTAAAGCATATGTTTAAAGCTCTTAGACATCTCAGTCAAAAGGTATTGTAAATATAGGGACAAAGCTAGTAAATGCTTCGCTGTGGAGTTTTAATAATGGCAAACCAGAATCTAGCAGGGATTAAGAAAAAAACTGAAACAGGTCACTTTTAAGCAAGGAATATGTGCTCTGTTTTGGAGCCCTTCCAAGATCAGGAAAGGATTTGAGGTTTTTTCCCCTCCAGTAGTAACCAAAATGGTCAAGATGCTAGTGGTAACATCACAGGGGAGGAGGGCACAAAGTAGCTCGAATATAACTTCCTCTTTCTTGCTTGTTAGCATTCCTGGGCATTGTTTTCAGTATCTTTTTTTGTGATTAAAAAAAAAAAAAGAACTGAAATGGCCATTCTGTTATGCACAACACAGACAAAAATGCCTTGACATAATTCTTTACTACTGTCATCAAAATACAAGAAATTTCCTTGCAGAAATCTTACATGCGTAGAGATTAAATGTGATTTTAAAGTTATATCAAAACCTCCTACACAACTGCACCCCTTTATAATGTCATCTTAGCAGGAAAAAAGTATTCCAGCTATTTAGAAAAAGGCCATGACAAGGCCCACACATGACTCAGGTCCCACTGGCAACTTGTTTGAGGTTTAGAAGGAATGTAGAGGTTTAGAATGGTGTAGAAGGAGTGTGACTAATGTGCTGGTTCTGTAAGCAGAACCTAAAAAGAAGCAAAGATAAAGCTGGGAAGACGAAAGTGAACTTCTCTTTCAAAATCTCTGGACAGGTCAAACTAAGATAATATCAATAGATGTACATAACACAGGAAATGTTCATTGTACCATGTGAAATCTTCCCATACTGTCATTCCATGCTGTTTTCTAAGAAACCTGGTCTCTCTGAGCTTCTCTCAAATATCAGTCACCTTGTGCTGCTCTTTATGCCTGAAATGGTCTATTAAAAACATGGTGGTGAAGTAACCTGAAAGTTTACTCTAAGACAGGGAAGGATGAGGGTAAAAGAAAAAAAATCTTTAGACTGAACTTCTTGATATTTACCAAAACCACCAAAAGCTGACAAATCTTGTAGAGATTTGTACCTGCTTGCAGAGAACACCTTGAAAACTCAAAGGAATGCTTATTCCTTAGGAATGTCTTTGTTTTATGGTGACCGATATACTCAAAAGGGCAATGGTTATTTTGGGATGTAATGCTCGATATTTTGGCTCTCCTACCTACTAACAGGCTAACAGACTAAAAGACCAAAAGGGACAGATGCTGACCTCTTTTCTGTACAGAGGGTCACTGAATGAGTTAAGCAAGAGGAAGCAATGAAGGATCTATCTGTATAAGCACACTAGATTTGGTGACATTGGATTCTGGCTGTAAGATGAGCTGCCCTTCACTGAAGCTGGCTCTCCTTCAATCTTACCAATAAAATCTGCAAAAATTACTATATTGCACAGCCTTAAGCTCAGCTCCACACTCATCCTGTTAAAGTGGTGACAACCCTGGCATCATAAAAAAGCCAACACCAGCTTTTAAAGTGCTGCCAGAGGTGAAAGGAGAGCTCCTGAAACACATTTCTTGTGGATCCTTGTGTTCTGGATATTTTTTTCCCTTTGGACTGAGAAGCCTTTTTCCCATAATCCAGCATTACATGTTTTTCTCTGTCTAGGTTTTACACTCATCTCCATGAGCTATGTAAAATGCTGATGGGGTTTTATTTTAGTTCCTTCATAAACTGTGAAGACAGACTTTAAATGGTAAAGTGTTTAAACTACGAGTCTTTTCACACATTGCAATGAAGCAAGCAGGACTTCCTCTAAAAAAAAGAAACACACAGCTGTTCCATTGCTGTTTCTTGATGCTACCCCATCAAAGTCCTCCTTTGAGGCAAAAATACTCCCACAGTGCCTTCAGATTTTGCCATGCTTTTTTACTTTGTGCAATGCTTTTCTCCGTAAATGGTCCATAACAACATTAAAACTGG